CATTCACTCTTACAAGTCTATCTTTATTCACTTTTAACAAGGATTGGTTTATTAATGTGTTCAATGTAAATTTCACATTATTTTCCTATATTATTTCTTTAATTTTAGTCTGTATTTGCAATATAATTTCTTTTAATATGCCATACTGATATACATTCTTATAAAAGATACAACATATATCTAAAAATATATGTTTTTTTCAACTACCAAATTATCAAAACTTACTCAAAATATATTTTAAATTTCATAGTTACTATTCTTTTTATCTTTATTTAACTTTCTTCTCTTTTCAATCTTTGTAAAACTTGCTTTCAATGTCTTAGTATCTTTTTCTTTGTGATGAATGCACATATAACTTTTAAACTTAATAATAAGCAATTCCATGCTTTTAAAATCTTTTTTTATCAACTTCAACAAGTTATATAAGATAAATTATCTTGATATCTACAAGAATGAGTGATAAATAATCTTAAACTAGTTTCTTATACAATGTTGCCTTTGTTATTGTAATCTTGTCAATTCTTTATATTTAATCTTTATACAATAGCTTCACTTTGCTTATATATAGTAGCAATACTTATAATAAGTAATATTTTTCTACCAAACACTTCCTCCTCAAATACATTAATCTACACTAAAAAATTAACTCATATATCATAAGAAATAATAAAAATAAATAAAAATAAAAATAAAAACATCATACTCTAATTTAAGTTTATTCATATGAATTTGCAAGAAATAATTAGTATTTTTCTTATATGAAATTATTTATTATGTTTTAGGATAGAAAAAGAAATATTTTTAGAAAGAGTCTAAAACATAAAAATTATTAGCATACAATATTGAAAAGATATTTATATCTTAAAGTTCTTTAGATACTAGCCATAATTATAACATATAAGTTTGTATACAAATAAAAAAATCATACCAATTTAATCACTCCAATATATTCTTATCTTATCTATTAGTAATAATTGTGAAAATGGCAATCTATTATGTATTTTTTTGTAATTCTATGCTTTTATGATATTTATTGTTTAATATATCAAAATATAGTGTTTTTGCTACAATAATTCTATACAAAACTTTCTTCTTTAATACAATTAATCTTAAACAAATGCTTGTAAACTTTGGTTAATGCAAATGATTTAAGCTCCATCACTCTTTGATAAGTTCAATCAATTCATCACAATTTGAAGGTAAATTTGTTCTCTTACTTCTTTTTATTTTTTCTAATATTTTAGAATTCTTACAATTCTCAAATGGATGTCTTTTAGAAAGAATCTTACAATGCACTATTGCAAATGAATACATATTTGCTTCAAAAGGATATACTATCATTCTTTGATATTTATTCTTTAATATGTTGAGCCATGTAAGTTGTACTACCATAAATATAATCATTCTTTGTTGCTTTTGCATTGCTACCAACTTTAATCTTAGACATTCCAAAATCAATAACTTTCAGAATAATATGCTGAACAATCTTATTTATGACTTTTTTTCAACAAAATTAAGAAAAATATTGTCAAGCTTCAAATCACAATGTGTAATATATATGTCATGCAAGTAATACATCTTTTTTGTAATTTTATATATTATATCAATCAAAAATATTTAAAATACCTCTTAATTTTTTTCCAACATATTGCATAAACTTGTTTGAATCAATTCCATTTCCAAATACACATAATCATTCTTTATTTTAGATATATAAAATCTGCCAATTCCATTTGCAATATCTTTCATTACAAAATAATATGTTTTAAAGTTTGAATAGCTTACACTTGCTAGAATATTCACCTCTTTTATGAAAGATTTGTTATGCATTATATCTATCTTTTTTGTTACACACTCAAGTTCTAACTACTTTGATTTATATACTTCTCTATAGATTCTTTTGCTAAGGAGTTTTATAAACTCAATATTTTTTTATGTATGATGATAATTCCAAATCATCTAATTCTCCACCTTTGATATAATGCAAGTCTTTTAATCTTTATAATAGATGCTTTGCTTATTTATAAATTTTTTTTTAAATATTCTTTATTTGTAAGAGTCAACCTTCCATATAAATATATTGTATCACATTCTACTTTATCATAGGTTGCAACATCAAAAGTATCAAATAGTTTATCTTCAAATTTGTAGCCAAAATATTTTAAGAGCACACCACTTATTACATCATAACAACACTTCAAGTCCAAAAGTAATTTTCTAAAGGTCTCTTATTCTTCAATTAAATCATTGTTACTTCACATTAATTTTGTTCTTTGCAATTCTTTATAACTAAATATGCTTTGTTTAATGTAAGAATTAACTCCTTTAACAAAAGCCCATATTCCAATCTATTATTGTTATAAATCATCAAATAGTCATACACCTTCATAATATATTCAATATTATTATATAAAATTTCACATTATTTTTTATTTTATATATATATATATATATATATATATATATATATATACATATATATATATATATAGTTTTCAATAAAACCTTCAATGCTACAAGATAAACTTAATATTCTCTCCAAATATCTTTATTGACTTCAATATTTAATATTGTGCTATTATCTTACAAATTGACATTAGATTATTCTATATTAAATAAATATCTCTACTACTATATACATAGCAAAGGCCTTTGTACTATAATATAATTCTTAATAAACTACTGAAGATATGTCATAGTAACTTTTTAATAAATATTCCAAATTTTAACATTTTGCCATACCTTAGATTTACTTTTTCTATTAAAATATTTATTCCACACTCTTCTATAAACGTTTCTATACCAAGCATGTCATATTAAATCTTACACATGTTATTTTAAAGATACAACTTTATTCCTAAATAATCCAAAACTAATACTTGATCACTAGATACATTTTTAAAAGCTTATTCTAATCCATAATAATAATGTAAATCTTACTAATAATATAATCCCACTTTTGGTCCTAGCTCAAGTTAAACCTATATTTTAGCATATATCTTTAATAACTACTATTTTAAGAAAAATTAATATACATGCTTTCATACACAAGTAAGAAAAAAAATTAACAAGGCACAAACATACTCAATACAATAAACAAACACTGTGAAATTCTAATACTACATACAATTAAGAATCAATATGTCTATCAAATTCCACATTTTAATCTTTTCTTCTAATTATCATTCCTCCATTTAATGCTATTTTTTTTTCTATTTCATCTAACCTTTATAATCCTAAAATAACAAATCCTATATCCTAATGAATCCTAAATCATCTCTTGCAACTACTAAGCCATACACAAATAATATACAAATACTAAGATAGCAAACTTTAACAAACCTTATAACAACCACCTTAAATCCACATCTTAGTCCTAACAAATACAAACAAATATTAACAAACCTTACAAATATTAACAAATTCTACCCCTAACAAACTCTAACAAACCATTCTCCTAATCCTAATGACATATTCACAACAATTATAGTAATTTAATAACTAACCACAACAAAAAAACAAAAACACACATACACAGTCACAAACTAGGTCACCTGACCATCTCACACACACTCAATCAAAAATTACCGCTCCAGTCGCCTCAGTACTCCGAACTCCACAATTGCTCCTCCGAAGTAGTTTCGTGATCCAAACTCACCAAGAACTGCGAAGACGATCGTCACTTGATTAGTTGCGACTCGATTCCTCTTAGTTCCTATTTCGATGATCCCAAGCTCTCCGGGAAGCTGATACCAAGTGGCTCTTACCTTCAGAAATTCCACCCCGAAACTCACCAATCCAACAGACTGATGGAAGAAAATCCAACGCCCTCCAACACTGAACGGAATCACGATCAATAGCAAATTCTATCTGTATTGGGCACTTGTACAATAACCTAACCAGGCTGTGGAATACTAGTGACGTTCACATCAGTAGAAGGCAGTAAGCTAGCCCAACAATTCTCGTCATTCAAATCACAATATTCAACTTGTTCAATGTATGGATTCAATGCTGATCTAGCGAGTACGTCGGTAGTACCACTAGAATCAAGTGTGTCGGAGTTTCTGAACGCCACAAGACCCACTTCTACGGATCCTAACTAGTGCTAAGACCTCAAAAAAATAAATTCCGAGCCACTACTCAGTCCTTGCCTACCCACCTGCTCTATCGAAGAGATGATCGTAGTGTCTTGGATGGATGTACTTCAGTACCATGATATCATTAAAAAATTCCGCTGCTGCAGATGATGATGTCTGCGACTGTTCGTGTATACGTGTATATGTATATAAATTTGCATATGATTATTTAGAGATACCACAGTATCATTTTCAAAATGTGTGGTGGTTTGTGACTTTGTCCTAATATTTTAGCATGTTTTACACAACAGTAACTAAGAATATTAGAATAATCTTTGCGACCATCCAAAAATAGAAAATTCATGAGTGGAATAGTGGAAGTCAGAGAAGTTTAACCTCCAGTGGACGTCTATTGTCAAATGCATAATTACAAAACAATTAACCATTTTATAGTCGGTATATTTCTCACCGGTTCACTCTGAATATACATTCATGACCATTACGTACTTTTACACAAAGTATTAGTTTGAGAAAATGTTTCCAATCAACCAAAGAAACACGATCTTTCTTCTTCGAGAAAAATTCATTCTCTAATGAGTACAATGCACATGTATGTGTAAACACATATGTATAAAAGTACATCTGGGCACACAGTTTCAGTCTTACAAACGAACAATCAAAGACAGACAAACCAGAATTCCGACATCAACACTAAAAGGCCAACGCTTCAACCTGTAAATTTCCAAAATTATCTAGACGGGAATGATACTCTTCAAGTAAACCAAATCTGATTATGCTTGAAATTGGTTAGAACTGAATAATTCAGACACCAAAGAGTTTTCTAGCGGCATCAAGGGGACAGGTACTAGGGCATGAACTTCGGCACTGACATTGACAGGAAATGAACTGATTCGACAGCCAGAGTTAGTAAATGAAAGCTTCAACAATATCAATAGAAGACAATCTACCAGGGAATTGGTAAATCAGAACATAAAAAGTTTCGATTTCATTTCGGTTTCAAATAATGATGACCGGATGTCTCTAAATTGTTGATCAAAATCTGAATTAAATCTACTCGCAGAAGATGGGAACAAAAATCTCTTCAGAACTCAGGCAGGGATAAAACCACACTATGCTCAACTAACAAGCGTAAAGTGACATGCTTCTTACTCTCAACCCCTAATCAGGTGGGCAGGGAAGGAAGACCGATCTATGAAAACACCCAACTCATCCTCTGCAACGCGAGCTCTGTCACTTGACATTAACAAGCTCGACATCAAATGTAAGCCAAGCGTTACCAGGGATTGTTCCAGGAACACCCTTCGCCCCGTACGCCATCTGTGGTGGGATGGTAAGCCTTCTCTTGTCACCAACCCTCATCCCTGAGATACACCGATACGTGTCAACATTGCATTGATAGGAAATGGATTCCAGCCCACTTATAATGCAACGAAAATAGGGATAGCTGGAAATAGACACTCAACTGATCATACACCATACACAGGAAAAGGTAGTCATTACTCACCCTCAACACCAACGTCCCAACCCTTAATGACCTCTCCAACACCCAACCGGAACTCAAAGGCCTTCTTGCCGACGGTGGAATCAAACACCTTGCCATTTGATTTCAACTTTCCAATATATTTCATTGCCACCTGATACATTTCATAATTTCCGGGATCAACAGACGCCTCATGAATTAAGAATGCGCGACAATGAAACAAGTAGGCTTTTTTTACAGCACCGTTTACAAAACTGTTGGTATAATCCTCACTTTATTATGAGGTATACTCCGCTATTCATCTACTTCTTGGCACTAACCTTCTTCCCAGGCACAGCCTTCTTGCCATCTGGTTTACCAATTGCTAGTTGCTCAACTTCTAGGCCATTAGGGTGCTTCTTGACGGTGGTGGCCCCTTTCTTCGGGGTCGTGTCCTTCTCTTCCGCTTTCGCTGCTGGAGTGGCGGGCTTCTCTGCCGCCTTCGCTGCTGGGGTAGCGGGCTTAGCTGCCTCTCCATTGGGTTTCTCTCCCGCGGCCTGGGGTGTGGCTTCCCCAGTCTTAGCCTTCTTGTTTTTTTTCTTCTTCTTTTTCTTTCCCTCGGAGGCGGGGGTTCCACCAGGTGTAGTTGCAGCCGCGCCAGTAGTGGGTTCCGCTCTGTTGAAACCAAACAGATTGTTTAAGGTCAGTCAGGTAAGGTCCGCAAATTTGATTCGATCAGGTCTGAAATTCGTGGAAAACGAATAGCCTACATCAGTGAAGCATTAACCCCTCCATAGAGGAGAAGTCATACCCAGCCGCGGGCTTCTTCGGAGTTTCTTCACCCATTTCAGTGTCCTCACTTTTCACCGGAGTGGAGGCTGCATCTCCTTTCTTCCTCTTCTTGTTGTTTTGTTCTCCATTGGTGATTGCCAAAGCTCCTTTCTTGGCAGGGGCAACAGTTTCTGCATCCTCAACTTCAACAATTTTAACTGCAATACGCGATGTCTATTAGTGAGTGCTTCAGAAATGATGGCTTACTGTGAAACACGATTATCGTGAGAAGCGGATTGCAGATGAATGCACAAAACCCCTGCACAAAATGCATACCTGAGCTGGGAACTCCTTCAAGTCCATCACTGTCCTCATCACCCTCCCCTTCGCTGAACTCGATACCATCTTCATCCTCGGAGTCATAGTCATCCTCATCTTCAGAGTCAAATTCCAAGGGCATGTAGTATCCAGTGAGATGAACACTACCCGCTCCGGACACGGTGAAGGTTACTTCTTGATCAAACAAGAGATCGAGTGGGCAAGACTCTTGGACACCAGGAACCAAGGAGCACAACAAAAGCTCAGGGTTATCTCCTACTTTGCATTTCACGACAGTTCTCTGCTTGTCCTTGCAGTTAAGTCCCAAGGTTGCCTGATAAACCGATGACCACGAGTGATGATCAGAGTCAGCATCATCACATGAAGAGGCCCCACTTTCAGAGGAGACTGACAAAGTGCAACGAAAAATACTGAACCTAACCAGGCACATTCTATGCAACACACAATAATTTATTTCAACATATACCCCAATTACCTGGGAGAGGTGGAGCTTGGTCATGCCATCCTCGTCTTCATGAAGGTACGGCTTCTCAGGCTGGATTTCCACACCTGAGAAATGGAGAGATGAGTGAGCACGCTAAAAGATTACCGAAAATCATTTAGTAATCAACTACACCCCCCACCCCTAAAAAGGAAAGCGGAACTCCCATTGCAAATCCAATAAACTACATTACAAAAATCACACTGCACGATGGATACAGTACTAAGAAAGGGCAAGCCGCCACGACTACATTAGACCACTGGCAGGCAATGTCCAGGTACTCTGACAAGAGTACGCAATAAAAGCAACAAATATACAACTTCCATGGGCAAACAACGGCGGCGCAAGGAGCGACCACTGCAAACCAATGAGACTCATTCCAGACATCAGACACCACAAAGCTCGATCCAGGAAAACATCTACCGATCACTACAAACCCTTCCACCACAGAATCACGACCTAACACCCACAATGTCCTCTGACCCCACGTCCACACCCTAAACACTTTAAAATCAACAGTACGCAGTGACCCCAGCTCCAATTCCAGAACTCACAGCGGACAAACAATAACACCACACTTACCCCAGAAAGTCATAGTGAGAGCGGAAGTTGAGAACTGGAGGTTGATCTCCGCGGCAAATCTCCGAGAGCAGAGTTGTCAAGGGTCAGCTCTCTCTCGCTCTCAGGAGTCAAGTTAACAGTCCGGAAACTGGAACAGAGAGCAGAGCGACAATCCGTTGCGAACAATAGCGGAGAGAGGCGGGTTTAATGCGATCGAGCGGGGATCCGTTGTAGGCAGGGTTTAAGGGGTTTTAGGTATTGCGAAAGGAGGGGAGGGCTGAGGCAGTGCGGCGCAGGCCCCCACTCTCGGAATACTCTGGAAAGAAGGGGAGAGCCCAGCCAAGGGGAGAGCCCAGCCAAGGGGAGAGCCCAGCCAAGGGGAGAGCCCAGCCAAGGGGAGAAGCCCAGCCAACGGGGAAGGGAACCACGCGAGGACCGCGCGGTTTGGCTGCTTGATCGCTTAATTAGGGTTTGCATCGCAAAGTTGGCATCATTCCATCCCACTTAGATTGGGGGGCGATGCCAAGCAGGCGCCGCCCTCTGCCCAATACACCCCCCCCCCACTTCGCACTTCGGATGACGTGGAATTCGCGGTGGCTGCCGGGATGAGTCAGGGATGGGGCCCACGCTGCCCGCTTCTGACCAACCAGGGTTTGTTTATCAGTTTAGTTGTCCCCACTTTGGATGCTGTTGTTACTGAATTCTTCTTCTTCTTCGATGGTTTATTCTTCTTTTTCCACACGTGAGTCGCCATTTATTTTTTTAGCAATTCCTTAAGTTCGTTAGAGTTCTTTGGGGCACGGTTCTATTTTCTTAAAGATAATTATTTTAAATTAGACTATAATCTCACTTATTTTTACTTTTGAGTTTAATTGTTGGTTGTACTTTGTGTTTTAAATGCTTTTTCATTATAGAAGTGTCAAGCCTAATCTTTGCAAAACACTTCTTTTCAAGAAATGTGCATCCCAATTTGAAGCCTACATTTTAAACTCATTACTATAGATGTTATGTAATTGTTGTTTTACTTTACTTCCTACAATTTGGTATAAGATATATATTCATACTATATATATATATATATATATATATATATAAATAGAATTTTAAGTTATTGAATCTTTTTCAAAGTATTTGATAAATCACCAATCTTTTATAAAAATAAAATTTTAATTTATAAATACTAATAAATAAATTTAAATGATATATCTATTATATAAAATAGTTTGAATATAAGATAAAGAGACAAAGATGCATTTTAATTGGCTATTGAAAATAAAAATCTAAAAACTTGGCAAATATGAAGTAATTGGAGATTTGATATTTTGAAGAATTGAGTTGTTAGAACCTAATAACTTCTTTATTTTCCAAACTAATTAAGGCTCTGGCATAGTGGAGGAAAAAAGTAGAGAAAATCTGTTGATCTTTATGAGATTTATGTTGTCGTGTTATAACATGACTATATGGTGAAAGATAATATTATGGATCTTATTATAAAAGAGCCAAGTTAAAAGATAAAATAGAAAAATATGGATAAAAAATAGGAAGGTAATAAAACTTTTAATAGTAATGCTATCTTTTTGGAAAAGTGACTTCTATTTACTTTGTAGGGCCAAAAATAAGGTAAAATAAGGTAGATTAGAAAAATAAAAGATATAGGCATATGTAGGAGGGAGTGAGGAGTTGGTTTTAGTAGAATTTATCTCAAAAGAGATAAAAATTGATACCCGGAGAAGACTAGTTACCAACCAGGGACAAAATCAAACCCTAAAGTACAAAACTAAGCCTTGACGACTATTCTAAGATTCTTTTATTGATCAAAGAAGGAAGTTCAAGAGGAGACTTGATAGGGTTTCTATAGGCACTGATTTTGGGGGATTTGAGTGGATAATGACACAGACACAAAAATACAGGCTCGAGATCTAACAAGAAGTTCAAGAAGAATTGGCAAGAACTAGATTAATCAGATGAATACAAGAACAACACCAAAGAGGTGAACTAGAGCTCCAAGAGATGTATTGTCGAGATTGAAGAAGTCTTCAACCTCGATTCGAATATATACTCCTATTTAGGAAGCTTCTCAAGCAACTTCTACCAACTAGGAAGCTTCTCAAGCAACTTCTATCAACTAGAAAGCTTCTTAAGCGACTTCCACCAACTAGGAAGCTTCTCAAGCAACTTCCACCAACTAAGAAGCTTCTCAAGCAACTTCCACCAACTAAGAAGCTTCTCAAGCAACTTCTACTAACTAAAAAGCTTCTAGAAGGTTCCAGAGACTTGTTTCTAGAAGGTTCTAGAAACTTGTCTCTAGAAGGTTCTAAGGACTATGTCCCTAACATCACCCCCTCGTTTAGCTTCAAGGTCTCTGAGAAGCAATATTATTGTTAATCAATGCCAATGCAAGAAAATGAAGATTTGTTGCATAACGTCTGGTATGAACTCCAACTGTTGTTTACAAGGCAAGTCGTTCATCGGCCCTTGAAGCCAACGGTAGTAGCCCATGTCTTCGACTTCTAACCAAGCATGAACTTCAGTGTCCTCATTGTAAAATTGTCCTACAAACATGCCTTCTAGCTAACCATCGTAAGCAGGCTCGAATTCAAATACAATCACCAGTGATTGGTTACTCGGTATCCTCCATCGTCATTGTGGTATAGGTGATTCTTCATCTCGAGATCGCCTTCGTGAGCTAGTCGGTTGAGATAATCTGATTGGCATAGTAACTATCTCCTAGCTATCTATATCAGAAGGCTATTGAAAAAATTCTACTTTATCAACTACGAGCTTTGGTGGTGCTCTCTCCCTTTCTTATATTCTTGGATGAGCAAGCTTTAGAAGGAAGCTATCCTCGAACCAACTTAGATTTATAAGGATGTTGTTGATGAAACTCCTATACCTTTTGTGGCGCATTGGCAAGATTTTCAGCTGGTTCCCACGTTCGCTCATTAATGTCGTAGCCGCACCAATGAACAAGATACTCCAACTTGTCCCACCTTCATCGTGAATCCAAACACCTTTTCAACCTCGTATTCCTCGTAGTTCTCGATCTCAATACTAGGTGGTGGACATTGCACTCTTCCAAGAAAGGATGACTCTCGGTAAGGCTCCAACAGAGAAACATGAAAGACTAGATGTACCTTCATAGAAGCCGGTAATTCCAGACGGTACGCCACTGGATTGTTTTGCTTCTGGATGATAAATGGTCTCAATCTTCGATAGTCCAACTTATCACATGGTCGCTTGGTCTTGATATTCCGTCAAAGAAGCCATACTTTATCTCCAATTTGGAAAGTAGGTGCTTGATTCCGAAATCTATCTACAGACGCCTTGTAGGATTCTTGAGCGGATTGTAATTGAAGCTTCAACGTAGTTTGAAGCTCTAATAGTTGCTTCACAAATCCTTCAGCTATTGGATTGTTATTTATTGACGGACTCAATAAATCAAACTTCGGATGATACCCATAGTTACCAAAGAATGGTGTGTATTGAGTCGACGCATGGAGGGTGTTGTTATATGCAAACTCGGCTAGCGGCAGATATGTGGTCTAATTGTCTTGCTGATAGTTGATGCTGCATCATAAGTATTGTTCCAAGACTTAGTTCACCCGTTTCATTTGGCCGTCAGTTTGAGAATGAAAAGCCGAAAAAAGCTTGATATCCACCTTCAATATCTCAAAGAGAGATCTCGAAAACTTTGATACGAACTGGGTTCCTCTATCTGATACGATATCATCTGGTAGTCCATGATATCGATACACATTATCGAGAAAGAGCCTTGTTGTGACTTCACTAGACGATGTCTTCTTGCAAGCGAACAAAGTGCGCTATCTTTGTGAGCCGATCTACCATGACAAAGATGCTGTCAAATGAGTTCGATGATGGCAGGTTTGTGATGAAGTCCATGGAAATTGAAGACCATGGTCGACGTGGAATCGGCAATGGTTGTAGAAGTTCATAAGGGCGATGTCGAGGATTCTTGGATCTTGAACAAATATCACAGAAGAGCACAAAATCTTTTACATCCTTCCACATTTGGAGCCACCAAAAATCTCGAGAAATAAGCTCTAAGGTCTTGTTGAATCCAAAATATCCCGCAGTTGGAAAATCGTGGCAAGATTGAAGAACTCGAAGTCGTGCTAGTTCTTTTGGAATATACAACTGCTCCTCAAAGTATAAAGATCTCCCTCCACCTTGAACTTGTCGTCATTGGTACGTTGCTTGATATCAATGGCTATTGGATCTTCAATGGTTACGGCACATACCTGATTCATGAAGTTAGCATCAATTGGCACAATAGTAGCGCAAAGCCAAAATTACTCTAACTTCAACAACGTCGTACATTATTGATCAAACGCTGCTTCTCGAGCCTTTGGTCCAAGATACGATCTCCTCGATAAGGCATCGAATAGTCCTTGCTGCTTTCTAGGTCGATAAGTGATAACAAAATCAAATCCAGATAGCAACATACTCCACCGAGCTTGACGTCTATTTAAAACTCGAACCGACATGAAATACTCCAAATTCTTGTGATCAGTGTATATGGTCACTGGGTGTATAGCTCCTTCAAGAAAGTGACGCCATTCTTGGAAAGAATCCACCATAGTAAGAAGTTCCTTATCGTGGATCTCATAATTGATTTCAGCAGCAAAGAACTTTCGAGAATAAAATGCAACCAGATAGAGCTTCTTGTCTTCTCTCATTTGAGAAAGTATAGCTCCCAAAGCAAAATCTGAAGCATTAGTTTCTAAATAGAAGGCCTTTATGAAGTCTGGATGTACCAAGATCGGAGTCGTAGTAAATACCATCTTCAGGTCTTGAAATGCCTTCTTTGCTAGAAGTCCCCATTTCAGCTTATCCTTGCATATCAATCGAGTGAGAGGAGCAGCAACTTGAGAATAATTCTTGATGAAGATTCGATAGAAGTTAGCAAAGCCAAGAAAGCATTGTACATCTCTAACCGTCTTCGGAACCTCCCATGACACGATTGCTTCCACCTTCTTGGGGTCCATCTTCAAGCCTTCCGTTGTCGAGTTGTAACACGAGTATACCGTGAAAATATAAAGAAAGGGGACTTTTATTAATATTCAGTTACCTCGAATATTGGGAGCAACGACCAATTCCAGTGCAAATACTGAGAGGCCAAGTTCATTCACTCCGTTACAATCAACTGGGACATACTGAAATGCTCCATTCGATTCCAATAACGGGAGTCAGCAGAAAGGAGAAGGACCAATTCAACGATGGATGAGCCTAGTTCGAACAGCCAATTGGATCCAATTTCAAGACATCCAATCCAGGTCTTCTTACCCAATATGAGACTTAATTTGGTCG